CCCAAGGCATCCAGAAGAGGTCTCACAGATCCCCTAGATGAAGAGTCACAGAAGTGCTGGAAACTGAACTCCAGGCCTTAGGAAGAGCAGAGAACTCTTTTTCTTTTTAATTTAAAACAATTTTTTTTTATTTTACATACCAATCCCAATTCCCAGTTCCCCCTCCCTCCCATTCTCCTGCCCCCTACCTTCCCCCACCTCATCCCCTAACCCGTTCTCAGAAAGGGTGAGGCCTCCCATGGGAAGTCAACAAAGTCTGTCAGGTCACCGTGAGGTAGGGCCAAGGTCCTCCCCACTCTATCTAGACTGATCCCATAGGGAATGGGCTCCAAAAAGCTAGTTCATGCACTAGGATAAATCCTGGTCCCATAAAATGCCTAAGCCACACAACTGTCACCCACATTCAGAGGGCCTAGTTCAGTAGTAATCAGGTTTCACCAACTGTCAGTCCAGAGTCAATGAGCTCCCACTTGCTTGGGTCAGCTCTCTCTGTGGGCTCCCCATCATGTTGTTGACCCATTTGTTCATATTATCACTCTTCCCTCTCTACAATTGGACTCCCATAGCTCGGCCTTATGCTTGGCTGTGGATCTCTGCATCTGCTTCTGTCAGTTACTGGATGAAGGTCCTTTGATGATAGTTAGGGTAGTCAACAATCTGATTACAGGGGAAAGGCAGTTCTGGCTACCTCTGCACTGTTGTTTAGTTTTATCTGGGGTTATCCTTGTGTATTCCTGGAAATTTGCCTAGCACCAGGTTTCCTGATAATCCCATAATGGCTCCCTCTATCAAGGTATCTCTTTCCTTGTCTTCCTCTCTGTCCTTCTGCCAATTTGACCATCCCATTCCCTCATGTTCTCCTCTCCCTCCCCCTCCCCCCACATTCCCAGTTTACTCAAGAGATATGAGCAGAGAATTCTTAAGTGCAGTGTCATCTCTCTAGCCCTAAGCAAAGTAGGTTTGGTTTTTGTTTTGTTTGTCTTTTGAGCCAAAATTTTTTCTTTCACTTCTTGCACTTGAAGTGCTCTTTGATAACATGCATCCTTGGCCTGAGATTCTTTCCCATAGTTCTTAACCACTACACCACTTTCCTGTGGCTTCTCCTCTCTATAAGTTTTACAGAGGCCTCCCCATTCCCCGAGTTTCTTGTTGTCATCAACCTTAATCAGGTTGATTTGATGCTCAGCACAAAGTGTCTCCACCAACTTGTCATATACAGGCTCATCAGAGTTGAATGCCAGCACACAGACATGGGCTTGGCATTTGTCTAAGGCTTTTGCAGTTTCAAGTATGCCACATGATAGTCCGTTTTGGACAAGGTGATCTTCACCACCTCGTGCAGGGCAGTATTGACATCCATTACACCTCCAGCAGCAATGCCTTCTCGGCCATGCTAGTGGATTACAGGTGAGGCTTAATCTTGAGCACACCAGAGCCTCTGTGCCCCTGCAGCTCCGAGGCAGCAGGAGAAAAGGACAAAGAGTTTAAGTGAGGAGGGATGCATCGCTCCCAGTGCTTATATTAGTAAGTGTGTAATACTTAGTGCCTTCCTCATTGATAGGATGCAGACTTCTGACAGGATGCAGACTGACACTCTAAGTGCCTTGGAGGATGGAATCAAGTAGAATATTCTCTGTCATGTTTGAAACGATGCTAAGAAACCATTTATCATTGCCTGTATAGAAATGTCTGCCACCTCGTTAATGCCAGTTTTCCAACATTAGTGTGAAAGCTTTAGACTTTTAAAAACAGAGTCTAAAAGCAATTTAGTTCCTATCTGGCTCCATTTTGAAATTATCATCTTTTATACACAGAGAATTGGTGTTTTTTCAAACTTCTCAGTCACAGGATCCATCAATCCTACCTACCTGGCATTTCTCAGAGACATTCTTCCCATTATTCTCTCTCCACTGTTAGAGTATGTGTCTTTAAAACCCTTGGGACTGAGCTGTCACCTGAGGCTCAACCCAGTGGATTTAGTCCTTGTCATTCATACAATCTGACATGCAAGTTATCCCATTCCTCTGCATCTCTGCCTTAACATTGCCCTTCCCACTGTTAACTTCCCCCAACTCCAGCCACCATTCTCAACTTCAGTACCAAATAAGGAAAACCCTCCCATCACTCCGTATTCCACACAAACACAGAAGGTAAAAGAATGACCACCCTTGAAATTAATGCCTCAGACTACACACACACACACACACAAAAATACATTTATGATATAGAGATATAGCTTAGTGGTTAAGAGCACATACTGCTCTTGCAGAGGACCTGAGCTTGGTTCCCAGTACCTGTGTCAGGTGGCTAACAAGCACCTGTTACTCAGGCTTTAGGGAATTTCAACACCCCGGCTCCCATTGACACACACACACATGCACATAAATGCAAACAAACACACATACACACTTTTATTGAAAAATAATAAAACTAAATCCCCCCCCAAAAAAAAAACCCTTTTCATAGAAGTATATGCCATCATGCCAGTGATATGGTTCAGTATGCAAAAAATGCTTGCTGAGTGTGGTAGTTTGAATGTAATTCGCCACCATAATCTCACAGGGAGTGGCACTATTAGGAGGTCTGGCATTGTTGAAGTAGGTACGGCCTTTTTGGAGGAAGTATGTCACTGTGGAGGTGGGCTTTGCAGTTTCCTATGCTCAGGATACCACTCAGTGTCTCAGGTGACTTCCTGTTGCCTGCAAAATGTAGGACTCTGAGGTACTACTTCAGCAACACATCTGCCTGCACACCACCATGCTTCTCACCATGATGATAATGAACTAAACCTCTGAAACTACAATTAGATATTTTCCTTTATAAGAGTTGCTGTGGCCATGTTATCTCTTCACAGCAATAAAAACCCTAACAAAGACACTAAGTCTGAAAATCCCAGTTCAATCCCTGAAACTCAGAGACGAAGGTGAGAGCTAAATCCAAAATGTTTCCCTCTGACCTCCACAAGCACCAAACACACATGCATATACATATTAAATTAATTTTCAATATGTTCTCAGCAGAATGGGGGTGGAATCTCAGTATTGTAGCTAGAGCACTGTGAATGTAAGCCAAGTTTGGGTAACATATCATTCCATGCTAGCCTATTCTGTTTAGCAAGACCTTGTCTCAAATACAAAAAGAAGAAAGAAAGCAATAATAACAAAAAGGAAATAAATCATCTGTCCATCTAACCACACTTAAAAGGAACTCATGAACAACTTGCTTGTCCACATTGGTTACTTACTGACTTATCCATCATTGCCATATATTCACTAAGGAATTTGGAGTGTGACCTATTTAGTACACCCTAAGTTCAATTGTCATTCTGAGTAAGGTCAGTAAAAAGGCTTCACTTAAATTCCTTACTCCCCAAAGACTTTTGCCTGTATGTTCTTCAAATCACTCATGATAAGGGACATACAGCAGATCTATGATCCTCATCTCTTTATCTTCCTCTGGATAATACCCAACTTTTCACCTTGACTTCCAATCTTGAGCTAGTTGATGAAGAGAGTGTCCTTGAGTCTGATATTTAATCCAACCAATTGACTCCGTCAATTTATCAAAATGTTCTTGCCAAGGTCACTTTTAAGCTCAATGTAGCTAAATTGAATAAAGAAATTAAATATGGAATTAAGCCAATTAAGCTCTTATGGATTTGCTTGGATGATAATGTCCAATTCATGTGTAGCACAAAAGGTACAGCCATTTGCCCTTAATCCTTTGTTTGTGCCTTCTCAGTAAACTTTGTTACCTAGTTTTTCACAACAAACATTTCTCAACTCAGGCTTGAAAATTTTATCCACATCTCTTCTCACAGGACACATCCATCTGGTAGATCTCCCTACCACCAAAAGGTCTACAGTTACCAATAAAGACATTTCTCTTATCTATTCTGGTCCCATATATTCAATTGCTTGATGATTTCCTGTTTTGACCTCTTGCTTAAAACATATCAACCTTTTCATGTCTTTATGTGTTTCTAACATAAACATGTATCCAATCTCCCATTTCTTCATCATGCTCATATCTAATTCCTTAGTATATTCAGTTCCTTCTATCTCCTTAATATTTCTTTCCCCTTCCTCATGATCATCAATTTAATTTTGGGACTTAAACAGTTTTATGCTGGCATTACTATAACCTCCTGATGAACTCCTTGCTTCTTATTTTACTCATATCTTCCTCTAGGTAAAAATGATTTTCCTCAAACATAAACATAATTCCACCAGAACCCAATTAAGATTACTTAGTGTCTATTCTATAAGGCCTGTCAGCATGTCTAACATCTTTTCTCACCAACTTTTCACAACAAAAGCACAAAACAATTCACAAGTCTACTTTTCAGAATCCTTTGTGTCCTTTTGTTTTAAACTTTTGCCAATCCTTTCTTCTGTTGGATTGCTCTTGTTTCAAAGAAGATCCAATATTATAACCAACAGAAACAATACACTCTCAGTGAAGCAAAAAAATATATTTATTAGTGAGAATGAGCTACTTGAGAGTGTGATGGTTTGAATAAAAATGGACCCCATATGCTTATGTGTTTAAACGTTTGGTTCCCAGCTAGTGGAACTATTTGGGAAGGGCTGGGAGGTGTAGTCTTTCTGGAATAGGTATGATTTTATTGGAGGAGGTGTGTCATTGGGATCTGGGCTTTGAGTTTACAAAAGCCCACACCAGGCCAAGTCTCTCCTCTCTTGCTGCCTAGCGCCTATTGAAAAGGATGTAAAACTTGCAACTACTGCTCCAGTACCATGTCTGCCAGCTTCCTGCCATGATGAGCATACGCCAGCCTTTTAACTCTAAGCAAACCCCCAATTAAATGCTTCCTTTTATGAAAGTTCCTTGGTCATGGTTTCTCTTCTTTTTACTGCAATAGAACAGTGACTAAGACAGATTGGTCCTAGTTTCCCAGACAACCAAAGATGATGATATGCTGTTAGCTCTGAAAGCAGCTATATCCATGATCTAGCCCAAAGACTTGTCCAACCCCCCAGTGAACAAATGCATCACTGCTTTTCTTTATTGATTCTTTGTGGGTTTCACATCATGCATCCCTATCACATCCATCTCTCTGTCACTTCATATTCACCCTCCACCCTTGCAACCTCCATCCCAAATAAAACAAAATTCAATAGAAAAACAAAAAGCAGAAAAAAACAATAACAACCAAACAAACATAGAGAATAAAACAGCATGGAAGCTGAAGTGTGACAGAGTGAGTCACATAGTAGTATACTTTGATCCATACATCTTTACTTGTAAGTGTTCATTGGGATGAGTCATTGGTCTGGTTCAAAGCCTCTGGCTTCTGCTATGTCCTCAATACTGGACCTTCACTGGGACTCCTATTGGACATCCTGTTGTTGCCTTGTGTCAAGGACATCCTGCAGCTTTGTGTCTTCAGGTCAGGCCCTGCACATGCTTCAGCAGTTCATAGATGAGGTGGATGTTGGGGTGGGACAACTCATAGCCCTGGCTCTGGTCCTGGCTGATAGTTCAGTTGGTCGGCTTCCAGCTTTCTCTCATCATTACCAATAGAGAGAGCTCTCCAGCATTGCCCCAGCTAGCAAGGTATGGAGCCTGCTCTGACACCCTTGGGATGGGCTCACCTGCACCCACACCTCCAGGGCCAACTCTACTGTTTTCTAAGCAAGGTACAGGGTTCCCTCTCCCTAGTGCTGAAGTTGGTGAGGTACAAGGCCAGCTCTCCCAAACTCATGTCATGCTATCAAGGCCATAGAGGGCAAGGGATGGGGGTCATTTTTCTCTCTCACCCATATCACCACATGGCAGACAAGTAGAGTTGGGTCAGCTCTTCTGCTCTCCAGCCCTTAGGGTAAGTTCATCTCAGCCCCTGTAAGCAGGGCCAGCTCTATTGTGCTGCCCAGCTGAGGTGCAGAATTGTTCTCCTGAGTGCTGCAGCCAGTGAAGGACAGGGGCAGCTCTCCCACTCTCACCAGGACTATCATTTCCACCTGCAGGAGGTGTCAAGGGGTGAGGAGGTATCTCTCCCTCACCCATGTCATGGTAAGAGACAGATAGTGCAGCCAGCTCTCCCACTCTCATGCCTTCAGGACCAGCTTACAACCTTACCCTCCATCAATGGGGTCAGCTCCACTGCACTGCTCAGCAGAGGTGCGGAGCCTGTTCTCCAGAGTGCTACAATTGGTGCACAGGTACAGTTCTCACTATTGCTGCAGCCAGTGAGGGGTGGAACCAACTCTGTGCAGCCCTATCATTACTGTCTTCCATGGCAAGAGGAATCACAGACATTAACACAGACCAAGGCTATGGCAGGGCCAAGGACCCAGATGTGGCCCTTGTCAGCAGCCCAGACCAAGATGACACCATGGCCCTGGGTGGTAGTGCATGCCATTCAGATCTGTATGGCCCTGGCAGAGGCATGGCCTTCACACACTAACATGAGCCTAGGTGGCAGCCCAGGATCTGGGTGGCAACATGAGCCATGGATGTCAACACAGACCCTGACTGTGGTTGGTCATGGGACCCCAGACATCGTCTTTGTGAGCAGCCAAGCCAGGATGTCAGCATGGACCCAGGTGGTAGTACAGCTCACTCAGATTGGGCTGCCTGGCCCTGGAACACCAATATGGCCTCAGATGGCAGCTGAGATCCTAGGCATGCACTCTGCCCTCATTGGCAATAGGAGCCACGAACATTAACACAGACCATGCCTGCAGCTGGGCCACAGAACCAGACATGGCACCAGCCACTCTTCTACCCATAAGACCCCCTGGTCCTGGTTGGCAGTGCATTTCACCCAAGTGTTTATGGTCCCTGGGAACAGCTTGGGCTCTAATGTCATCATGACCCTAGCTGGCATCACAGGTCACCCAGATTGGCATGGCCCCAGTGACAGTATAGCACTATAGCACTCAGGTGCCAATATGTCCCAAGGTGTCAACCCCGCCCCTTGTGCCTCCACTTTGCCTTCAGTGCTTAAGAGTAGCCACAGACATCAATGTAGACACTGGCTACTGTAGGGCCATGGATCCAGACATGGATTTCAGCTGTAGTTTAGGTCTGGATGTCACCATGGTCCTAAGTGCTAGCACTTGCCACCCAGCTCTGTTTGGTCCCAAGGGTCATATGACCCTAAAACACTAATTTAGCCTCAGGTGTAGGCCCAAACTACAGGCCTCTGCATGGCCCTCTGTGGTAATAAGAGTCACTGACAACAACACATAGCCTGGCTGCTGCAGAGCAATAGACCCAAACATAGCTCCTGGCAGCAATCTAGACGTTTGGAAGTAGTGCAGGACTCTTTGAATGGCATTGCCCCTGCAGGGATAAATCCCTTCGACCCCCACATGGACACCCAGCCTCTGGGTGTCCACAGGGCCTTCAATGGTAACAGTTGTGTCAGGGCCACAGACTTAGACTTGGTCCTTGGCAGCAGCCCAGGCCCAGACATCACCATGGTCTGGGTGGCAAGCAGGTCTCCCATGTCCGAGGTTTCCTCACTGCCCTTGGCTCCCCAGCACATGAAAGTTTCTGTCTCTTTCTTCCATTCACCCACCATATACTCATGCACCATAATGTTGCTGGACAGGACAAAGGATACCGCCTCTGAGTTTCTGTTTTCACAGCCTGAGAAGGTAGTTTATCTTCTAGAAAGTTCCATTGCCCACGAATCACTTCTATCCAATTTGAAGCTGAGGAAATGAGCAACAGGTTTCATTGTACTAATGTTTAACATGGAATATACAAACAAGAAGACATTCAAAAATATCCAAAAGCTGTGTGTTTTATTCCTATTACTATTTAGTCATCAGAAAAATATCCTAGAAATGATATCCTTGGGCAGACACTAGTCTCAGTCTGTAAAACACACCATTGCTATATCTTGTGACCTGCACTTTCTTTTCAAATATCATTTAACCCACTGACATATGATCACTTTCATAAATGTTTCCATTTTATCTGTAAGCATCTGTTAACTAGAATTTTCTCCATTGCTGGTACCAGTACTTGCATCTTTATAGTAAAGAATGTCAGAATACTCAAGAGGAATATCTAAAATCTTTTGTTGGAGGGTGTGTGTATATATGTAGGCCAGAAGAAAGGTTTGGACATTGGTCCTCCCTGGCCATTTTGTTTGAGACAGCAATTTACCTGATCACTGCTGTGCACTGCAGCTATCTGTCCCGCAGTCATCCAGGAATTCGTCTGTCTCCACCTCCCATCTCACTAGCAGAGCACAGGAACTGCAGGTGTGAATTACTGCACCTGGCTGTTCATGGTTCTGGAGGAACTACAAATGTGTATTACTGCATCAGGCTCTACATGGTCCTGGAAAACTCCTTATATGTATAACTGCACCTGGCTCTGCATGGTTCTGGAAAACTCCTGGTGTTTATTACTGCACCTGGCTCTGCATGGTTCGGGGGCCTCAGACTTAGGTCCTCCTACTTCTTTACCCACTGACCATCTCTCCAGATCTCCCTCCATGACTTTCCTATTTTAATAAGTAGGAGGGATAGATGTTGCCAATAATACTTTGACATTTCCACAAAAGAAGACATTCTCATCTTGATTCATGTCAGAATGACTACATTCTAATAGAAAACTTGGTGGTAAAGGATCTAGAAGCATCCATGGGGGAATCAGTGAAAATCAAAACTTCATTATTTTCTTTGTTACATAATTGTGATAAGAAATGAAAAAGAACCACTTAACAAATTTGCCCATAATTTAAAGAAAGTGTTTCTAAGCACTTCATTAACTTAACTTGTTTTAGTAACCACAACATTTTTTTTTTTTTAGGTTCACAGATGCTTGGCCAATGACTAGGACTTCTCATCTGCTAGCTCAGTCTTAATTATCATAAATCTATATATGTTATAAGACTTATCTTATCAGATGCCTTATTGGCATCCCTCCTTACCGGTGGCTCCCATCCTGCCGCTGGAGGAGACAAACGGGAAAAGGGGCCACTTCCTGTTTCCTCGCTAAGATATGAGTCTCCTTGCTATGTCACTTCCTGCCTGGATTACCACTTCTCTACTACATTTCCCAGAATCCTTTTTGACTCCTAGTTCCATCTAACTTGCTGTCTCATTGGCCAAACAGTATTTTATTTAACAATCAATAAGATAAACATACAAAGAAGTACTTCCCCCATCATCTATGTTATATGTATATTCATGAAATATTAATTAACGAAAAAAGAGGTCATAAATTTGAAGGACATTGGAGAGGGGTATATGGGACAGCTTGGAGAGAGGAAAGGTTAGGGAGAAATGTGACTATATCATAAGCTCAAAAATAACAAATTAAAAAGCCTTTTGAAAAGATCAAGGTTGTTTTGCTTCCCATTTATATAATTCTGGAAGAATATATAATTCCAGAGACTCAGAAAGCAGTGTGTGGGGGAGTTAGCTATGTCATTTTCTGTTTTACTGTATATGAGAACATGAAAGATATAACTGAAATGATATTGATCCTGTGTCTTTGGAAAAGTAACCACAACATTTTTAAAGAACTCACTGCTAGTTTCATAATAAAACATGAATGCATAGTGAGCAGGCATGGGTAAAAGTCTTGACCTCACCTGTTTATTTGCAAAATGACGTTAAGAGATCAGGTCAGAACACAAATCCCCTTTACTAATAAGGAGAATTTTCTAGATGACACAGGTGTCTCAGGGTGTGAAGGTTGAGTCAGAACTCCTGTGCCCTGAACATACACCATGCAGCTTTTGAGCAGTGAGAGCAAACAGTGCTGCCAGTGCCCATTCCTGTTTTTTTGTGAGCAGTTCTCAGAAAAGAATAGTGTAATAATTTAAAAACTGGACAGACTGGTGTTTGCTTTGATGTTTTACTCAAAAGGAGGGCTCCCAGGAAAACCTGGAAGCCATTGTGTGTGATATTATATGTTTGTGTATGTACATACATAAATAATGTCGATATGTATGCACATGCATGTGAAGTCCAGTCGTCAGCACTTAGGGTGTTTTCAATCACTCTGTACCCTCAGTATTTGAAGCAATGTCTTTCACTGAACCAGTAGCTCATCCACTCAGCTAGGTTGCAGGGAGCCACACATCTCCACCTTTCTGAGCTGTAGATACAGATTTATCATCATGCCCTGGATTTTTACATGGGTACTGGGAATCCAAACTCATGACCTCAGAATTGCCCAGCCTTTAATCTCCAGGGAGATACAATTTTTATAGCAAAATATTACAATTTTATTCAGAGTAAGAAAGCACTAAAAGAAGTGGCCACTGTGATAAAGACTGCAGGTGACCCTAGGCCATGGACAACCTGTGAATTACCGAAGGCTAGATATGAGGCAGCACCAAAAGAACTGCCAACACATAGGTCAGATGAAGTCAAATGATTCAAAGACACATGTACAAAGGTACAAAGGGACCACTGCAAAGGAGATAACGTAAGAGGTTTATGGTTACTTTCCTAGTTCTGTGACAAAGCAGGACAACTTATAGCATGAAGAGGTTCTTTGGGCTTTGGGTTACAGGGAGTTAAGAGCCCATATTGGCAGAGGAAAGACAGAAGGTGGCAGCGATAGTGGCTGGAGCAGGAAGTGGAGGGCTCACATTGGGAAAGTCCAAAATGAAATAGAGCACACCAGGAATGGCTCGTGAGGTTTCAAAACTCAGAGCCAGCCACTAGTGGCACATACTTCTTCCAGCAAGGTCACAATTCCTAAAGCTAACCCCAACGGTGTCACCAATTAAGGACCAAATATTTGAATACCTGAAAATATGGGCACATTTTATTCAAACAACCACACCAGAAAACAGCCAAGTATACAGGATGAGATGCTTGTAACAACTGGAATCCAAATTTACAGTTCAGTTCAAAGGTTGGATCTGAAGAGTGAATTAAAAGGAAATTAACATTACTACATTTTAAATAAAATTTAATTGTGTCACATCAGAAAGATAAAAGTAAATATTAAAGGTTAATGTCTATCGTGAATTTCCTAAAAATTCTTAGTATCTCAAATAAATATAAAATTTATTTTGTAATTTATTCTACTCTTAATTTAAATACCAGAGTCTCAGCACTTCTATCTATGGTAGTCAACTAATCTAAGATTTCTGAAACTAACTTGTCTATATTTTGTTCTTTAAATGGCTTCTGCTTACACAGAAGCTAACTCCCTTTTCCTGTGTGATGGCGAATATTACCAATTTAAAAGGGTCTAGGATCTTCCAGGTGATACATTCAGGGCCTGTGAGAGATTTTTCTTCATTAAGTTAATTGATGGGAAAGGACCTACCCTAAAGTTGGGGTGTCACCACTGCCTTTGCATGGGTCCTGAGCTGCGTGAAAAGAAGAAAGCTAATGGATCACAATAATTAATATTTTTCTGCTTTCTGACTATGGATACAGTATGAGCAGCTGCCTCAGCTCCTCTTTACATTACCATTTGTATCCTCAAACTATAAGCCAAACTGAATCCTTTCTGCCTAGTTCCTTTTGTCAGGCACCCTGTTACAGCAACAATAAATGTAATTAAAACAATATGCATTAGGGCAGATTTTCAGAGACACATCTGAAAGTAGAGCATCCTCATTTCAATTTTAATTAGGCATTGTGGAAACCAATATATCAAGAAGTTTTCAAACAGAAGAAATTGAGAAGCAGTAGAACATTAATATCAGGGACCTTAGAGCTATACACTCAGATTCTCAAAGTTTATTATGTATCTGTATGAAAATGACATATAGACCCAGATCCCTCCAGGCTTGTCCCTGCTTGAAACAGACACGCCCAGGCAGGGAGGAGCTCCCTGAATCTGGGTACAGGCCACTCTTCCTTCCCTTTCCGCCACTGACTCATCACAGACCAGGTGAGCGACCCCTGCTTTTACCCAACTGTCCTAAGTGCCATTCACCCAGATCCCTCCAGGCTTGTCCCTGCTTGAAACAGACACGCGCACACAGGGAGGAGCTCCCTGAATCTGGGTACAGCCCACTCTTCCTTCTGTTTCCGTGGACCGATCTGCCAGGAGAGTGAGGAGACTACGAGGAGAGGCAAGAACATCCAGAGCTTCGAACATTGAATTCCTGGCCCACACACACTACAGTGTAACAAGAGGAGATAGAGAGATCCTACCTGCACTCACTGGAAAAAGATATGGGAAGAAGACAGAATAAGAACTC